ATATAAAATAGATAATAGATAGGATGTAATAAAAGTTCTGGGTTAGATATTAAATGAATAATGTAATTAATAATATATTTTGATGATAGCATTTGCAAATTCTTTGATTAATTTAGTAATTTCTTTAAAAGTTGATACTTCTTTTTTATAATAATATAGATTATAAAGAATTTAGCTTCATTAGCATATTCAGTGAATTATTATTAAGATATATAAATTGAGTTGTAGTTAGATATAAATACTATATTATTAGTATTTACTTTGATTATTTTACTATTATAGTTAAAAGTCATAAAGTTATTACACTAATTAATAATGAAATTAGTATAATAAAGTCATAATTTATCAAGAATAAGATCATAATATTGAATATTTAAGACTTATATATTGATATCAGATGTATAATATATAATTAACTTGAGTTTATTAATACTAACAGACTAATTTACTTCTTTCTTCTATTAGTGAGTTCTATAGTTATTGATTTTATATTAAGCATTGTCAACTAATTTTATCTATATAGTTTTTATTAATAAAGTTATGAAATACTCTATTATTAAGTAAGATTCAGTAGGCCAACTTATACAACTTTTAATCAAATTGCTTGATTTAAAAAAAAAGAACTTTTAAATAAATGACTTTAATTTAATGTTGGTTACATGTACTTAATTAATATAGAGAACTTTGTGTCACGCAAATGAAACATAAAAGTTGAAACAAAAGAGGAAATTTCACAAGAAACTAATAGTTAGAAAAACATAAATAAAATGGAGAAGTCTAACTATCCAAATAACAAAGAAGTTTTTATAAAGTTAAATATTAATTATCAACGCTATTGCATCTAAATATAACTAGGAAACTACGCTACATCGAGTAAAACGCATTGCTCATAGGATATTCATATTATGGCTCTTCCAATCATTAATATTTTCGAACTTTCTGAAACATTTTCAAATCTTTTGTTGACAGAACTCAAAAGTTTTTAAAAATTCAATAGCTGAAAAACCAAAAACCAGGCTCCCAGTTATACTTTGATTAAAACATTATTTGCTTTAAGTGATTTGAACCATTTACTAGCTATTTTGAAAGGAAAAACCAAATGTGTACTAGAGCTACATCTTCGGCCGGGTCTGGTACAAATCCCGATTCACGAAATTCCGAACGTTCATAAGCCCGAAAGATCGAAATCCCAAAGTATAGTACATGTATTCCAAATTGCATGAAATATCACGGGATTTTGTTCTTTCGGGAAATGTGTTCATTCAGGATGTTATTCTTTCAGGATGTCGTTCTTTCGGGATTTCGATCTTTCGGGCTTACGAAAGTTCGATTCGGAATTTCGACCGATCTTTATGTTGGAAAATTAAAGGAATTGCGGAATTTATTGTTGCTTTGATAAATGTATGCACAAATTCTCCCATTTCATCTCCTCTATCTTCTCTATCATTTCTATTCTTCTCTCTATCATAATCTCACATTTGTACTTACTCTGTTCTTTTATCTTCTATCTTTTCTACCTCTCCCTCCATCATAATAATGTCTTTGATTGTATATGAAACTCTGCATTCCTATATATAGATAGATAGATAGATAGATAGACTAAAGAATTCCAATAGCAAAATATTTTGCATATAAACCTTCTCTCAAGAAAATAAATCATCAAAATCTGTGATAATTGTCTAATCGTTGTTCGAATTTAATTAAGGGTTCAAGAATTTGGCCTAGAAAAAGCAATTGTCTAATATTAGTTTAGAGTTATAATTCCTTAATTCACACGCTCTAAATCAATTTACCTTATAATTTCTTCAACAATTCCCACAATCCAAATTATGTCTTCCTCTAGTAACGCACGTAAACAAACAAATTTAGCAACAGTGTTAGAAGATTTTCATATTATTCCAGAAATTTCTGAAATCGATTTTTAGTTAAAACAGCAACAGTACGTGTGCTTTTGCCAGTAATTTAGTTAGTATGTGCACTTTTGCTAATTTCTTTGCTAGAAAATACATTTATATAATGAATTATGTAATTGATTAGATTATAGTTAAATATTCTTGAAATATATTAAAGAAGTTTTTCATCTTGTGAGTGAAGGAGAGAAATTTGAAGATTTCTTGAATTATAATACCATAAAGTATTTTTTATAAATCTATTACACACATTATCTGAAATAGCATTCTGTTTTTTAAGAAAAATAATCATAAGCTTGTTCGAAATATAAATAGTTATATGACATTTGATGTTTTTTGAAATGTCAATTACGGATTCTATAAGCATAATATTTTAAAACCAAAAATTTCAAGTAAATATCACTTGAGAATGGTTTTGGTATCACATATTTAGACTTTAGCATAGACGTAAGTGCGTGTATCCATTAGATAATACATACAATATAGTTCTGTATTAAGACTAGAGTGTCCAAATGCTGAATTCGTATGGTTTATCATGTAATGTATGTGTTTTGCATAATGGTGATGCGGTTATTACAATTTACATTATAAAAATGATTTTTTTACAGAATTACAAAATATTTAATAATAGAAAGCATGCATAATCAAAAGAATCTATTGAAAAATTAAATTTTAAAAAACCGAATGAACAAATTTAAAAACACTCGAGATATCTTGACATCCAACGATCCAATTTGGACAATAATAGAACTTTAACTTTAACTAAACTAGACGAATCCAATGCTTCTATTTTTGTTCAAATTGGATGTCGAGATATCGCGTCCCAAAGTAGTCAATTAGATCATTACAATGATCTAGACATTTTTTGATTTGCAGAATTTGCTGTAATAAATTACTGCGCAGAAACGCAGTAAACTGGGCATTCTATTTGAGACAAGAACATAATCTATTTGCATGTGCACATACAATGTAATACTATTTATCACAAGATTATGTGAACTCTAAAACAAAATGTATTGTTTAGCAATACATACATTTTACTGCAGATTTATAAGTTCATGTAGTAAAAAAACTATGTCTAATGCATGTACATATCGATAGTGCAGTACGTATCAGCAATCAGCATTACTGGAAAAGTAAAAGAAATCTTGGTAGAGTCTCCTGAAATTTAAATTTAAATTCAATAAGATCGAAATCAGTATTCATAAAGAAGATTAATAGTTACATTACCTCGTCTTTACTAACGATTAAAATATCCCCTTTCCTTTCCGCAAGAACGTCTACCATGAATATTGTTTTCACTGGTTTACCATCACAATATCCCAATGAGACTGAGGAGTCCTTTGCGAACCACATTCCTAAGAATGCATAATTGATTGAGAACATCACTCAAAAAGCTGGAAATCAATTGATATGCATTTACATACTTCCCCCGCCCTGTTTGGAATGGACACCTCTATTTCCTTCACGCAAGATTCCACATACTCCACAATTACTGGCACAAGATGGTGTCAATGATGTAATGAGTCTCAAGGGATCGCATGATGTCTTTGTCCCATGAAACATACGATGCGTGATCTTATCAGCTGAACCAGCGGTTCTTGCCATTTCATTTTTCAAAGCAAGATGTTTGACAACCATGCTCTTTGGCATTTGTAGTCTGAAAATTGCTTTGATAGTCGAATTTGGCAGTTTTTGATTGAATCGTTGAGATACATTTTTATAATCGATTTGATTCGGAGAGAGAATGGTCATTTTTGTTTGAGTTAATGTGGAACAATCTATCCAGAAACATGTTTTTGAACAAAAAGAATACGATTTTGTTCTATCCGTGGGATCAAGATAAGCTTTTCGATTGCATTCCAATCGGATGCAGTTTTGTCCTGAACTGTTGTAGGCGCGTGCACATGTTAAACCACAAAAGGGAAATCTTCTGCCTCGGGAATCGACATATACTGTTTTAGTGCAATTAGCACACTTTGGTAGAGATGGTGAGTCATTCGCGGCGGAACGAGCACAGGTTTTTCCACAGAAGGTATATTGAGTTCCATCCAATTCGACGTAACAGGGTCTAGTACAGCTAGGATTAGCACATGTATTATTCACTTGCGATCTGAGAAGAGATGTGTTACCGAAGAAAGTGTGGATAAAATTATTGGTATCAACGTGAAGTGGGTGTCCATAATCTGGACGAGTGTAAATTTGATTATTAGACATTAGAGAATAACTAGCTCACGGAGAGAATTAGTAAATTTCTAATAACTCTATTTATAGTTTGTTTTTAATTTCCTTTGTTTTGATGAAACAATGAATATACATGTAATATGCATTTATCTGTACATTATTTTCTATAATGTCGATATTGAATAATAAATACAAATTAGATATGTTTCCTGATTCAAAAGTGCGCCGCCAAAAACTTGTTGATCGACAAATGAAGAAACTCATTTTATTAACTTGCATTTATATTTCTTGAACTAACTAAAAGACTATTGCATCATTGACACAGAAGCGAATTTCCTGGAAATTCCTGGAAACTACGTAACTCCCAGGCTTACCTGCATCAATTGTTCGATACATTGTCAAAAAATTAGAATCAACGAGAACAATTCAGTACAAAGTTGGTAATGAGCGTCCTAAAGAATTACTGCGCATAATTCGAAGAAAGGTGGTCAATACCCCTAAAAAAGCTACTAAACTGAGCACCGAGGTGATAGACATTTCATTTCGAAGGGCATACTAAATTAAGACTGTATAACCCCAAAGGATGAAAAGCAACCCCAAAACCATTTTATTACCACACCCAAATTTTACAGTAGGCTTTTTTTGGTTTGATTCGATTGTGTATGCACAGGTGAACACAAAATCTAGGCTTGGATTAACTCTTTTTGTATATTTATTGTTTTATTTTTTATTTGGTATAGTACAATCATTCACAATAACAAAGAAAACTCTTTTCGCCAGACGTCGGCTTCGGTTGGAATTACATAGCTAATCAAATGTTCCGAAAATTATTTTGCCGTGACTAGGGTATTATAATTTATTTGTATTTTAATTAAAATCGTAATTTAGTCATTTTGTAAAATGATATCTTTAAGAAAACATCCACAATATATATATGTACATGTATTTTATCTATTCACTGCTCGATGTATAAGAATATGCTATATAGTTCACTGGTAGACACGCATCTTGTCTACGTATTTACCAATAAAAGTTATTCAGAAATCAGCTAGCAATAAAATTAAACAATAGCGGTAGCATTCATTTACCTATAAACAGCATACTCCTCATAATTCAACCTTGCACCCCCGTGTGGACAATGCCCTGACAAGAAATAGATAATATAGATAAGGCACGCATAATTAATTGAACGTAAAATAGAATAATAAATTACCAACACGTCCCCAAGTCGAATTGTATCCCGCTGGCGGACCCCTCGCATTTTGCGCTACGCTTTCCGGTGCCCACGGATTACCGATAATTACCTTTTTGGCGAATTTTAAAATTATGAGCAATTTATTACAAAGAAATAAACAAATAATTACTCAACTTTAGACAAGAACATAATTCGGCAATATCGTCCATTTTCATTCGGCAAAGACTTAGCCTACAAAACAAAAGGAGCCAAAAGATGTATCATCAAAATATAAAAAGTAGACCAACATAAGTCCCGTAAAACCTACTCCAAGATGTCCATAAAAATGCGCTTTACTCGAATGCGGCGTGAAGTACAATCCCTGACCCAATCTTTGAAATGTTCTTCCTTGATGATTAGCTCCCACCTTCTGCATCGAAAAAGAGTTCATCAGGATGCCACAACCAGGACAGTTGGCGGTAGCACATGGTGTTGGCACAATAGTTGGCTTGTCATAAAAAATGCAACATAATTGGTCTGTTCCGTGCCAAAGCAACTTTTCGTTCGCTTCTGGAAGACCGAGAGCTTTGTTGTTGATTTGAGATTCGACTTGAGATTTATAAACATTGTATTGGCGAGTTATTTTGTGTGGTAAGATGATATTATAAATGGCTTCTACTCGTAAACCTATTTTCATGTGAATATTATATAAATATATAAGAAAAATGAAAGATTAAACTTGCCGTTTTATCTATAATATTCACCTTGCACATTTTTCTTGACCCAATCCGCCAAGAACTTTGCTTTAATCTTATTATACTCGGCAGTATCTTTACGCAAAGATATTAGATGGGTGTACCTCTTTGAATCACTTTGTATTTTATGTGTGCTGGGAAAAATCGAAGGATTCACTTAACGTTAAATAGTAAATCGAATATTAATCAAAAAATTCGTGTTCTATTATTATTCGAAATTCGATGACAAAAAATTTACCTTTCAAGATCGAGTAATGTATGTCGCATAAAGAAGTTTCTTGTTCAGAACAAGATCTTTTGCAATTAAAGATAATACAGCTCATCTTTCACACTTGGATGAAGTATAAAAAGGAGACAAATTCGAAATTGGCTTTATTTATAGTATTTTGCGGAATATAACCAATATCCCCGTATTGATTTTTTACCCACCCCAAAAAACACATATTATATACCCTATACATGTATACTGACTTTCTTAAAATTTTGTCCTTTTTTTAACAATAACGATAAGAATCACTTAAATACATGTACATGTAACATAGTATTACATGCATTCACCCCATACAGGATTACTTATACATGTATTTCGCATAATTTTATCAAACAATGACAACAAAATAAGCGAGTGTACATACGGGGATATTGCTTATACTCCGCAGAACGATGTGGCTTCATGTGTGAAAGTAAAAAATCGATTCATCAGACAATGAAAACAAAAATGATGATAAAATAAGCGAGCGTACTACACGTATTTGACGGGAATGGTAACATAGTAGATCAAACGCTAATAAATAATTATTAACTTTATTAAAATCAATAATCCTATGAAAAATTGATATAGAAACGTCAAACGTTAATAAAGGGAGCGAAGAAGATACGTTACCACTTTGCCGAATCGTCACGACTTGACCACCGTAATTCTAATTTATTTAGTCATTTAACATTTTAATTGTTATTGTTTTGAAAATAATTGTTACTCTGTTTCGAATACAGATAACCAAGTTGGAGCTTCGAGAATGACATTAGAACAAGATCCATCCTTTGAAGAAGAACTCCTTCGAAAATATGGCTGCTTCATATCAACGTCAACAGCTGCTGCTTCTGATAAAACTGACACCACAAATTCTGAAGGACGCCCGTCAACGGAGACGAAAACTAAACAGAATATAGCAAACAACAATACACAACAAGCTTCTCCGTCTTCCACTGGCTATTGCATTGATAATAGTGTTCCTCTACTTACCCATGATAATAATTCTCGGATGAATTCCATTAACAGTGGAATCGGTAGTAACAACAATTACGAAGGAATGGACAGTTTCAGCGGCTCTGATACTCAAAGTCCTTACTCGAGAAAGAACAAAAATGAGAATCCTTTGTCTAGAAAAAACAAGAGACATAAAAGACAACAGCAAGCTCGAGAACAAACCATTGAGCAAAACAAACTCGTAAAACATATAAATGGTCAGTCGCAAACTTCTCATGATGGTGTTCCTTCACAAAATTCCCAAACTTCTCATGATGGTTTTCCTTCACAAAATTTTCAAACTTCTCATGGTGATCTTTCACAAAATTCGCAAACCTCTCATGTTCCTTCACAAAATTTCCAAGTTTCTCACAATGATGCTCTTTCACAAGATTCACAAACTTCACATGGTGATCTTACACAAAATTCTCAAAATGAACTTACACAAAATTCCCAGGCTTCTCATGATGTTCTTTCGCGAAGTTCTATAGCTTCTCATGGTGTTCCTTCACAAAACGAGCATGTCAAAGCTATATCTGAAAGCTCGAACAAGAAATGGGAAATACCACAAAATGACAACAACAATAATAATGATAATAATGATAAGAATAATGGTACGATTATCCCGGCGTCCAATTGCGATACACAAGCTAAATTAGCAGATCCATGGTTCTCGAAAGAAACATTTCACTCCGTTGCGTTGTTTATCTATTTCAACGTCGACCACACAGACATTTTACCATTTAGAGAGGAATTCGCTGCCGGATGCGGCTTCACCTGCATAACCAAGATTTTCGAATATACAGACTTTCTAAAGGAATTCTCCAAATATGGTTTCAACCGCATAACCGAGGCTTTCGGATATAAAACGCGCTATCAAATTACGGACGCCATGAACGCTGCCAAAGAATTCACACTTGAATGCGCGATCAATTGTTGGCGTAATAACAAAAACCTTACATTATTCTGTGCGGCATGTTCGAAAGATAACATCAATATTGTCTCTGAATTTGTTAAAAGTATTCGTAAGGTCTGTGATAATGAGACCCTTGACGTTATTGTAATACGTACAGATCTGGCAATCGACAACCACCGCTCTTATGTATATGAAACACATCGTGCTGGAGCAACTTGCGTGGTTTATTGCAAAAGTGAATACGTGGCTAGTGAAATAATGGATGTTTTCAAAACAATTAAGGTAATTTTGGTTTTTCAGCTATTTGAATAATTCTTTTTTAGAAAAATTTTTTATGAAATTTAGGAAAAGCGCGCAAGGGGCAGGGACAAAGTAGATTTTTATAATAAGGGAGAACCTTATTATGAATTTACAAACTTTTATCGAGCTAAAGTGACAATTGATAGTTATATTTGGCCTACCACTGAGCACTATTGTAAGCATTTTTTTGTTTAGTCTACTTCAATTTTCAAGAGCGATAAGTTAAATTATATTCTGCAACCCAAATCCAGTCCAAGCACAAAAGTTCGAAAGCAAATATACTCAAAGTAAAATTCGCCATGCCTACACAGCCCGTGAAGCATTTATGATCGCCCGCGCAAAGAACGATGAAAAAAGAAGAAATTGGGAATCATCTGATATTCCAGGCGACATCGTCTTCAAAGAAAAAGTGATGGAACATGCACAAATGCAAAAATACACTCAAAACCCTCCACTAAGATATAAATTGCTATCAACTGGCACTGCTGCCTTGTATGAGCATACCTCAAATGATAGTTACTGGGGAGACGGCGGCAATGATCGAAAAGGACTGAATCGTTTAGGCAAGATTCTGGAAAAAGTCAGGTCACAGTTGATGAATGAGGAAATTAACATGCTCGCTAAAAAGTATCGATGCTCTGCTCAACTATTGTGGCTTGTGCCACAATTGCGCGATAAGTTGGAAAAATCGATTCCGTTTACAAGCAATTAGATTTAAATACTTTCTGTTTTTATTTTTCACTTATCTAATAATATTGCTTTATGATTGCAATTCCCTTTGCTATTGTTTTTATATTATTATTGCTAGTTTTTGTTATTATATAATCATCCAAAGAAAGCAAATTATAATATGTATAACAATAGGCGCTCGTTTTCGTAGATAATTGCTACTCGTTTCATACTTTTTCATATCATTATTTTCAAAATGAACCGTTATAGGACAACTAGCTATTTACGTACGTATTCTGTATATAAAAATTCCAATCTGTATAATATTGAATACAGAATCATTAGTGAAATTAGCAATGTAAAGTTAGTATATAACTGGATGTAGTAATATAAAGTCTTAGATTAATATATTGTTAGAAAGATAGTCTGATATGATGTATATCAATAAATTTCAAATATATAAAGATGTACTAATAAGATTCTGACTAATAAATAAAATAAAAATGATATATTAGTTTTGATAATATGATAAAAGTAGAATTGCAATGAGAATAGTAAGAGAAAATTTGATTAAAATAAGGAGTAGAAAAGTGATATAGAATTATAATTAAGAATTAAATTCAATAGAACTATAAAATAATTTATTAACATAATAAAAATTTTTATTAAATAAAATAAAGATTACTATTATTCTTAAATAAATACTTATATTTCTTTGAATTATTATTAATCTGTTCTTATATTCTCTATTAATAAAATAATTTACTCTAAATTATGAAAATTAATAATAAAATTATAATAATTATAACTGATATATTATCTTCTTAGACTGAAATTAACACTATAACTTGAAAAATTCAATCAACTAATAAAAAATTGGCATATTGATTAATAAATTATAAATTAATTAATAAAAACTAATTGGAAAATAATCTGTAATCATAAATTACTTAATAAATCTTTCATATTTATTTCATTAAATAATAATATATATATAATATATTATTAAATTTAAATTTAAAATATATATAAAATATGTAATTTAATAATATTATTAACAAAATTCAAAATTATAATTTAAAAAAAGAAAGATACTTATAATTTATATATAAATATTAAGTTAAATTTCTATTTTTTATTAAAAAAAAAGAAAGAAAAAGATTAAATTAAACTTACTTATTTGCTAAATAATAATATATTTGATATAATTAAAATAAAATGGAATTTATATATTAAAAATTATATCAAATATTATAAATAATTTTTCTGTAAAAATAAACTAAATATTAACTCAGATAATATATAAAACTAGTAATTAATCTGATAATTAAATTTAATAATAATAATTATTAAATAATATATCTGTAAAAGTTATTAAAAAAGAATTAAAAATCTAATTTTTAAGTCTCAATTATATATTATCTTTATATTAAATACTTTATCTTTATTATAATTTCTCTTTAAGTTAATAAAATTAATATTATTATAAGATATCTAAAATATTTAAAGTAATATAAAGTCTCTTAACTATAATAATATAACTTATTATATTAACTTTATTATATATGAAAAAAATATTAAAAATTTATTAAATCTAAATATTAATATTATAAATATTCTCATATAAAATATAAAAATTATATAATATATTTAAAAAATATATTTTAATTAGAAATTTTAGAATACTACTTATAATAATAAATATTATTAATATGGGTCGGTGCAAAAATATCTGTATCTCAATATAAAAATTAATAATTGCTTCTAATAAAAATTATTCAAATTTTAATCAATCTTTATAATTTTTTTATATTA